ACGGACGGCCATGTCTGGAATTCCGGCAGGCTTTTCCACATGCCCCGGAGACCCCAACCCCAAACACTAAAGCAAGAATATTCTTCCCTACGACCCCAACTAAAATCATTACATGCTTTTAGCTCAGGGGGTTCAGGGTGTACGAATGATAGCATAGACTCCTCGATAATGAGTAATATTGCGTAGGCTTCCTTATACACCCCAAACGCACTTCTAACCATGAAGCTTCAAACCTAAACCCTAGAAATACGGACTTCGGGTGAATGCGTGCCGAGATGTCGGCATATGGCCCTCGGAGGTAGCAAGTCGCAACCCGAAGTACATTTCCCGATTGAGGCCTGCAACTCATTGGACAAAGTCCTTAACAGGATTGCTTCGCATCAAGGGGTTGGCATCTCTGTCGATCACCTCTTTGTGCGGGTCAGAACAGCCGGTTGATTACTTGGTTGCTGACCCAAAGGGTCCAAGTATCATTATGGTATATACTTAGACCCCCAAAATATCCTATAAGTATACACCAGAATGATACTTGGACCCTTTGGGTGAGTTTCCGGCTTCTGTTCGTACCTTTGTGAAGTCCGCCATGTTCCAGCGATTCTCTGATAGTATCCAACGTGCGGCTGCAGAGGAAGATGGGACTTCCAGGCTCGAGCATACATAGGGTTTAGGGTTTAGGGTTTAGGGTTTAGGGTTTAGGGCTTAGGGTTTAGGGTTTAGGGTTTAGGGTTTAGGGTTTGGGGTTTAGGGTTTAGGGTTTAGGGTTTAGGATATTGCACCTGGCCGCTCGTCGGACGGACGCAGAAGGAGAGTCATTGCTTTGGCGGTCGTCCGAGGGATTTTTAACGGTGCTCGTGGCCCTTGGTTCCGGTCCAGAAGCGGCTCATTAGGGTTTAGAGTTTCCGAAAATTAGGCTCTACTTCATTTTGGTGTCCTTATAGTAAGGATCCTACTACTTAGGATGCTGTATTAGGGTCCCCTATTCTCTTGAGAGTCAGGGAGAGAGAGTTTGAGGGAGCCACTGAGCTTGGTCGACATCGTCATCTGATTGACTCCCTTTTGATGGAACTCGAGCCGCTAGCTACGGATGCCTATGTTTGAGACGGTTTAGGACCTAGGGGTTTAGGGTTTATGATTTAGGGGTTTAGGATTTAGGGGTTTAGGGTTTGGGGTTTAGGATTTAGGGGTTTAGGATTTAGGGGTTTAGGGTTTAGAGTTGACGGCAGCGATGAGAATGCGCACTTCTTGAAAGCGATACGGGACGTCTGGAACTCCTGAGGACGACATTTACAGGCAGTTTCCGAACATTAATTAGGGGTACCTTTAACTGGATCCTTGAAGGGTTCTTTAAAGGGATCTATAAGGGTTCTATAAAGGGCTCAGGGTTTAGAGTTTCCGAAAATTAGGCTGTACTTCATTTTGGTGTCCTTATAGTAAGGATCCTACTACTTAGGATGCTGTATTAGGGTCCCCTATTCTCGGAAACTCCCGAACATGCTCTTGGGCTATATGGAGTCTTACGTTACAGGCAGGTACGAAGTCAAAGCCTAAACAATTTAAAGTGAATCGTTTCCGACAATAGTAGGGGACCCTAATAAAGCACCCTAAATAGTAGGATCCTTATTAGAAGGACACCTACCCCCCTTTATCCCCAAACCTAAACCCTGTGACCTTCGCCCAAAGCCCAGAATTTCGAAGTACTGGGTTCTTGTTAAGTTTTAGTTGTTGGTTATTATAATCCCTAAGAAACAGCTAAAATTACAATTTCTGCTGGGGTTCTAAGTTCAGTATGGTTTAGTTTAAGTTGCCATAGTAAAGAAACCATATTATCTACTATAGATCCCCATTATGACAACCCCAAGCTAAATCCCTTAACAAGAGCCTTAAGTCCTATAGTACCTTTATATAGAACCGTTATAGGAGCCCTCGTAGTTCCTATGAAGCCCGAATCCCTTAAGAAGACTCCGGAGTAAGGCTCTTGGATGTGCGATCCGCCCTGGATCACCGAGGGCAGCAGCAATCCGGAGGATTCGCCTGGGGTTTGAGTTTGTTCTATAGTTGATGATATTACTCCTGCATTACCCATAATAAGGAATATACCATTTTTCCCATAGTTTATAGGGTCCTTAAGGTCATGCAGGATTTATATCATCAACCGTAGCTTGTCTTGATATAGATATGTCAATGTCTAGTGAATGCGTGCACATACTTATATAATATATACATATGTATATGGGCATGCGCACATCATGTATGCATGTACATGTATGCATGTATGTATGTATGTATGTATGTATATACGTTTTGTGTGTATGTACGTACAAATACACAGGCACACACAGATAAGCCTATACCCTGAGTAAGGTTTCTTAGTTGGGGGTTCTAGGATGTTCCATGTTTGGTTGGGTTTTGGGTCGAGTGTAGGGAACTTTGCGCACATGTTAAAATGCAGCCCAAAGCCTGCTCCGAGGATCCCATGATCCTCTCAGTATACGGTTTAGGGTTTAGGGGTTAGAGTTTTAGGGTTTAGGGTTTTAGGGTTTTAGGGTTTAGGGTTTAGGGGTTTATATACACCAATGACCCCAACAAGGATCTGATGACAGGGCTCGATGGACAAAGGTGGGGGATGCTGGACAACCAATACCTTGGCAACTACTTACGAGATGACATCCTAGACCCTAGACCCTAAACCCTAGATCCTAGACCCCAGACCCTAAACCCTACCCAAAGTGTCCAAGAAGTCATTATTTTATGGTGTTTGGTAGCTGAAGCGGCTCAGAAGTCTTATATTAGGGAGTACCTACCCTGCACCCTACTTAGAGGATCATTGGACTAAGTAACTAGGGTTATAGTTGGGGTACCATGCTTATAGTTGCTTATAACCCCACTTAAGGTACTTATAACCTTACTTACTAAGTCACATGATCCTCCAAGAAGGGTTGCGGTAAGGGAGTACAGGGCTACACGGTTGCTATTAGCATTGCTAAAGCCTGTAAATAGTACTCACTTTGGGCTTTTTGGAGTCCTAGGGCAACCGTCCCAGCGGAGGAGTGCATCACCACAACGACTACCACCACGACCCTGGAGGAAATTACCACGACGACTCTCAACTGCTGTTTACCCCTCACGGGGTTGTCCGCTGTAGAAGGGCCCAAGCAAAGCATAGATACGGCAGGTGCCGTTTTAGGTAAGGCCTGCTATTAAATGAGTCGCCACATCCGTCGTTCTGAACTATTCCGGGATCCTAGGATCCCTGTTCGCATTGAGTCAGGTGCAACTGTGGCTAGAACAGGAATCATGATATGGGAGTTTCCGAAAATACTGGACCCTAATCTAGTACCCTACATAGTAGGATCCTTAATTATTGTAAGGACCCCAAAGAAGGTAACCCTAATTTGACAACCACCCATATGAGGAGGGTTTTGGGGGAGACCATGGGGTTCGGCGAGAGCTTCGGACGTGACTTTCAACACATCCAAATGCGTGTTCTTTATAAACCGGCCTCTGGAAGAACTTTTGAGCTGTGATCAGAAGACGGGGATGCACTTATGCTTATGTTTTTCGGGGATCCTGAAAAGAAGTGCACGCAGCCGAACTTAAACCTCTCAGCAAACCTTGAGCTCTGAAGTGCTAAACGACCCTAGACTTGAAGACCTGATAACCTGGAACCCTTACAGGTTCTATACTATGGGAGCCTACATAATTAGCCATACCATTTTGGGGGATCCTTATTATATTTATAGTATAATGGGCTCCAAAACCTTGTTCTAATTATTAAGGCCCCTATGTTATCGTCACACTGCTTAAGGCCCCAATCTTCGCATGCCCTACGCGTATCAGGGAAGGAGGGATTCGATTCGACAGATATGAAGGTTAACCAGAGACTGTTTAAGGGGTTTCTTAGTAAGTAAGGTTATAAGTACCTTAATTGGTAAGATAAGTAGTTATATAAGTATAGTTACCCGAATTGCAACCCTATAGTTACTAAGTAGGGTGATGGGTTTAGGGTTTCTCAGTAGGTTAGCCCTCGCTGTATGGAGACAAGGGCTGGGCGAAGTGAATGTGCGGTTTAGGGTTTAGGGTTTAGGGTTCAACACCTGTCGCCCTGACACATTCTTTGTGGAAACGGTCCCAGTATTGGAGTTACTGAGTTTGCAAGGCTTGGGGGCTTGTCTGCCAGCTAAGGACGACAACCACCACAACCACGCAATATTCTTTCTGCGCTTACCGGTACTACTGTTTCCAGGCGGCTGGCTTCACAGGATTGTAGGTCCAGAGTTTAAGATTTGGGGGTTTCGGTGTTGGGTTTACAGTATAATTAATACACCCCAAACCCTAAAACCCTAAAACCCTAAACCGATTGAAGGAAGTAGGTTTTTGTGAAGTCAGAGGTGCTTCGGGTTGGGGCTGTCGGCCGTACGACACTTCCCGAATGAGCACTGTTAGAGACAACAGTTAGGGAATGGAGGAATGGGGTACAATTATGACTACTAGTACTACCATGCTTAAGTAAGTTTTCATGAGAGTTATAAGCAGGATCCTTCCTAAAAGGACGGCTGTTTCTGAATCCGGGCTGACATTGCACACCGGGCTACGGCGGGTAGGGCTGTGGCTCTACGGTAGGAGCCGTAATGAGCACCAGCTTCGTGGTCTTGCCATCCTCCCGTTGCTAAATCATAAGATTACCCCAAGAGCCGTTATTGTCGATTTTTCTGAGAGGTCTTCCAGGCCCTAAACCCTAAACCCTCAAGAGACTAGAGCTAAGTGGCGGGGGTTGGGCAGAGGGTCTAAAGCCGAAAGGCAACAACAAACCTTGGAGGTTTTAAGGTTTTAGGCTTCAGGGCTTCGGGTTCAGGGTTCAGGGGCTTAAATAAGTACATATAAGTACCAGCACTAACTATCAGGGGTTCCTTATAATTATAGTTATTATAGTGAAAGTAAAATGTACACCCAATACCATGTTCTAATTCTTAAGGCCCCCACATCAAACCTGCAACCCGCAGGATCAATGGTTGTTTCGTCCTGAGCCTCACACCTCGACCGTACAAGAAGCCGCTACGGTCGAGGCACATTGAACCCTAAACCCCTAAGCCTTAAACCCCCAGACCACTAAACCCTAAATCCTAAACCCTTAAACCCCTAAACCACTAAACCCTAAATCCTAAAGCCAGGCTGATGACAATGCGCGTGGCAGTGATGGGGACCAGGAGGGCAGCAGTGGCGAAAGTGAAGGTGGCATCTCCATGGATTCTGAGTTTGCTTACAATAGTGAAGGCGAGCTTGTGCAGGTGCCTCCACAGATTGGGCCTGGTCCCTTTGGTCCGCCGCCTCCCCTTCCGGTTAGTCTACCGCCTGCACCAGTTGAACTCATGGGAATCTGGAGAGAGCCGACGACTACTTCAACGACCTGGACTATGGCCTCGACTATATCGACGACCTGGACTATGACCTTGGCTGCCTCGGCGTCCTGGACTGTGACTTCTTCCGCGTCTATCACCACGTCCTGGACTACTCTTGCTAGCGAGATGCTGGAAGACGGGGATGAAGAATCTGACCAGTCCGTCTTGGTTCAACTCAGTTGTCTAACTGCTGGTGGGGGTGTGAGCACTATATCCTCTTCCTCGACCTTGGAGGGATCGTCCTGCTCGTCCCCAGCCTTCTGCCGTTTGCCGAGCACCACCTCTACCAGTACTTCGTCTACTATGGCTACTCTGCCGTCGGATGTGGTAAGGGACACGGTCAACAATGAAATGCTGCACAGCACGGTGGCAGATGCGGTTCAGGTTGTACGTCGCCTTCTTGCACACCATCGACATCTGCAGCATTGCAGCAGGTTGACAGTTGATGCAGTTGAAGAGGCATTGCTCTGGATTCCCGTGCACACTACGGCGGTTTCCATGAACTCCGACATGCAGGCCAGGGCGATTCTGGCGGAAATTGCCAGACAGGCGACGTTTGGGTCGGGGGCGAGTTCATCCGGAATGTCACACTGGGTTCGTGCGCCTTTGGTTCTTCTCCAGCCTGGCTTCCCAGTGGACTTGTCGCGACTTGCAGAGGCCTTTCCTTCCACAGCACCAAGCACAGTGGCTGGTTACCGTCGACGAACCTGGCGACTGCACGTTCGGCACCTCTACGACATGGCTGGGCAGGTGTGCCCGGTTGGGGCCTGGCCTGCTGAGGATGACAGATGCCTCTACATCCTCCAGGAGGACACGGCGGTGGAAGTCCCCAATTGGCCTGAACTTGAACTACCGGAACCGTTGCCTACGGAGTCTGGGGTCATGCTGCAGGTGGGTCTTCGTCGCCATCGTCGTCCTCGGCTACGTCCGTTATCTGTGTCACTTGCAGTGAACCCATTGATGGAGATGGTTGCTCAGAGTTCGGCCAGTCAAGCTGTTCATGGACGACCTGGACGTCTTGGAGCTCGTGTTCGTCGTGAGAGTGATCCTGCCCCTGGAGGTCGTGATGCTGGACTCGACGGTGAAGTTCGTCGTAGAGGCACTTTGCCTCATGTGGGTGTTCGTCGTCGTGTTGGAGTTCGTCTGGATCGTAGTCGAAGTCGGGAACATGCACCGTGATGATTGTCGGGGGCAGAGTTATGGATGAAGCAATGCAGTACCTGCTCGTGGACTGAGGGCTGTGACTTTGAGCTGAGGCTTGGGAAGTTTTCTTTCTTAAGTGTGAACTCCAACAGGGAGTGCGCCTAGACCTGCTGCTGCGGAGAAAGGCCCAACACACTCTTAACAAAAATCCCTAAGCCCTAAACCCTAAACCCTAAGCTTCAGCCCTCACCCCCCTGGACCTCTTCAGCTTGGGACCATTGGGTGAAGGGTGTCCCTGAATCCAAGCAGTGTTCGCTCCAATATCAAGCGAACAGGAATACGTTTAAGGTTCAGGGTTTAGGGTCTGCAATATCAAGCAAACAGGAATACATGAGTGTGTCACAGGGATCCATAATGAACCGTAAGTAAGAGGTGCTGTATATTGGGTTATGACCGGTTCTATAAGAGTTGTTGCAAGGGTTCCGATTTTCGAGAAGCAGATATATACCAGGAAAATCGTTTGCGTGATATGTCTCGCCAGCCCCTGCAGGTGCACGACACCAACTCAGGCGAGTGAACGGGCCTGCCTCGTCGAGGGGGTTCAGAGTCAGTCATGGGGTCCAGAACCCTGCCTATAGTCTCCACTGTAGTCCCTTTTTCAGGCTGCCTTTAAGGATCCTAAAAATATGGTGAGTTAACCAAACAAGGACAGCAATGAAGACTATGTTCAGCTCTGAACCCGAATATGTACGGGTCCGAGTGATGAATGGTAATGGTTCCTAAAAGTGGGTTATGGGCATACTTCAACTTACTCCAACATATTAACCCGCTGAGGTTTGGGGCCTGGGGTTAGCGTCAGGAGGGTTTCGCGATTCGAAATTTTGGGACGGTTTACGGCACTCCGGCTATTAAGAGTCTATCTGTTCTATCTATCCGTGATTTACTGGATTTTCTTTTATGAGTAGATTATGCACCGTTTGTGTTTCCAACACATGCCCGTTCCTTCTTTCCGCCGCCATGCTCGTTATTCGCCTTTGGGGTTCAACGGCCCGTGCTGCGCTACCGCCCTAACCCCTAAACCACTAAACCCTAAACCCCTAAACCATAAACCCTAAGCCCCTAAACCCCTAAACCCTAAACCCTAGCGTGGTCTTAGGCACCACTTCTGGGAGTGCAGTCCGCCGAGGCCGGCACACTTTATTGGCACGAAGCTGGGGGCGGCCACGCCCTGGGCGAATGAGGTCCGTCCAGCACTGTTCTCTTGGTGCGCGACGGATACCACCGGGTCGGATGTCAATGTCCCTTTCTTGGCGAGGGAACTGGTAGGACCAGTGTTGAAAGAGTTTTATGGGCTCCCCTGTTGGCACGAGGCAGGGCAAGAAGGTGATGAAAAGAAAGCGCTCGCTTCGCGGGCGATTGACAATCTTGTGTCTCATGTGTTGGGCGGCACGGTTTCATTGCCGAGCCGCAAATTGTACGCAGCCCACGCCTACCTCGCCTCCGGTGCCAACTTCCACTCGCAGTCACGGCGCTGTCGACGTTGGGAGCCATGGGCGCCGTGGAGTCGGCGATTGAAGCGGCACAGGGCCGACGATTCATCGCGGCAGACGGCTGCCAGCTGGCTTACTTGTTGCCTCAGACAGCGGAGAAGCGACATTACAACCAGCTCCCCAGACCTTCCAAAATCCCTTAATTAAGGAATATCCCTTAAATTATAGTAGGATCCTTAATATGATTCAAGGTATCTTCCTTAGTTAGGGGTTTTTGGAAGGTCTGGGCTCATGACCTACTCAGTCACAGCATGGCGGGCGGCCGGGGCAACACACCCAGCCCATCCCTTCTCGCGCGGCTTCGGGTATGTTCTGCTTCTGGAGGATAGGGTCCGCATGAAGGGCCACCAAAACAGCACAAAAGCAAAAATAAGGTAATAGTAGTCTCCCTTACCCCCCGTATAATGAAGCCCAATAAGGCAAGGATGAGCCTAAAGCAAGCTTATGCTTGTGTCACAATGTCCTCTATTAAGTCCCTAATTAAGGGGTCCCTTTTGGAACCCATGCAAAAACATTGCAGAATATGCGAGCCTGAAACCATAGAAGTTTGAGTCGTGCCTTCCGTCAACCACCAGAACACGTTCTACAATATATATATATATATATGTATGTATGTATGTATGTATGTATGTACATACGTATATATATTATATATACATACATACATACTTACATACTTACTTACTCGTATACTTACCTGCGTACCTACATACATGCTTACATACTTACATACTTATATACACGCATACATACATATGCACGTATAACCCGAATCTCTGGTTCAATGCTTCCCAGTTTTACTGTCTAAGGCATAGAGTTGCCCATAGGACACGGAAACGATCCTAAGTACCTCTACAGGGATTCTTTGAGGGATCCTTTAAGTATTCTTTAAGGGATCCTTTAAGGGATCCTGTATGGGGGATACGTACCCTCACCGTAGTACTGATTCCTACCATAGAAACCTTACTGTCGACTATTATAGTAAACAACCTGCAATATAGGGGCCTAAATAAATTTTTACTAGTTTGATTCCTAGGTTTCCTTTTTATAGTATCATATGCCCCCGCACACGCTACTCCAATTATTGAGGCCCCCTATAGTAATTGCCTCGCTGGCAGGCGAAAACAGCTGGTCTTTGGCAGAAATCGAGTTCCGCCACGAGAATGTCAAGGCCGCGTTCTGTGATCCTTTTAACTCATAAAGTTGTACTTTCGTATAATTTACGGTAAATTTTATGCTATACTATGTTATGCACTCTGGTATATGAGGGCTTTGTAAGACAGTTCAACATCTGGGGGTGCCATGTTCAAGGACCGTTAATTGCTGTAAGGATCCCAGCATCAGGCTAACGGGCTTTTGAAGTTAGCGACAGCTAAGGGCTTAGGGTTCAGGGAGCGATCTCGGGGTTTACCTAAAGTCTCCATCGTAGTTCCTTTTCTGGGTTTAACCAATTATATATTAAGGATCCCGTAAGGTAACCCCAAAAGAGAACTACAACGGAGACTATATAGGATTTATAGGGTTTCAGGATAAACGAAGTTGAGTTCAGAAGCTGCTTCACCGTGGGTAGCATTTCGGTTTCGGGATTGCGGACACTGGGCTTTGGTTTCAGGGTTCGGGTCTGCAAACACTTTCCGGTTCAGGTTTAACGCGCTCGAAAGCAACATGGCACGCCAATAAAAGCCTTTTGAAATCAGCCCGTCTCGAGGTTTCAGGTTAGTTCTTCGCCATTCCGTCCCCTACCATTTGTTTCCTTTTGCGATATCCTGAAACAGATGCTGTCTACGTTTATGTCACGAAGCTAGGCTCTTTCTCCAACTGTGCAAGGAGAGAGACACAGAAAGACAGAGAAAAAGAGAGAGAGAGAGAGAGAGAGAGAGCGCCTAAACCCGAAACCCTCAACCCCAAACCCTAAACCCCTAGACCCCAAGCCCTGCACCCCAAACCCTAAACCCTAACCCCTAAACAGAGCGAGAAAGAGACGGAGATTGGGGTTTTAGTCAGTGATGTGCAAGACAGGTTGAAGCTGCGCTGCCCTTCAACAGGCACAAGAATTGAACTGAGATGCTTCGGGTGCTCTGGTTAACGTAGGGGCTTCAATAATCTATATGAATTTTCAGGGTTCCTTATTACAGGTATGGTATAACGGGTCCCCAAACCCTATTCTAGTTCTTAAGGCCCCTATATCAAGTTACTTGTGTTTGGTCTCCGACTTGTTTTATTTCCGTTCTTAGAAGATTCTGCTAGGGTCGTTCAATCACTTTGTCCATATGCTGTGTGCTGTGCACAGCTGGACGATTAGTTACAGCGCATGTATAGAGTCTCGATTTTGAGTTATCATAATTACAGTATATCTAATTTCTAAGGCCCCTAATATATAACCCTAGTACAGATCCCTCATGGACCCCTTTTAAAGGACCGCTTTCACGGAACCACCTTGAGATTTAAAAAAGCCCCCCCCCCCCCCCCCCCCCATAGTACTCTTTTGGGTTGTGGGCCGGCGGGGTCACGGGTCGCAATCTCTATGTCCTTAGCGGCCCCGGGGTTTGCAAGCCCTCAACTCTGACACTCCAAGAGCCTAAATCCCTCGACCCTCAACTGGGTTTAGGGTTTAGGATACAAGAGGGCTCATCTCAGTGGTAAGAACCAAACAAGCGCTCGGTGGCTATTCCGTAATACCATGTTCGGTGATACCATGCGCCCTGCAAGGGGACCTGGTAAAAAGATAATTCGGGCCGTGGTACACCCGAGCGCTTTGTGTATCGAACTTAGGATTTTCGACATGCGCTGCCCGCATGCCTTGCACGATGTCGGCCGATCAGGGAGTTGGTGGTAGTGACGAAGCAGGTTTCGGGGTTAGTGGCGGCCTCTTGGGTATGAGTGCCACTGGCTGGCTTTGGGTCTCAACTGGGCTTGGGGTTCGTAGTCAGTCTTCGTGAACCAACTCCGTTTCCATCACCATCGTCCTTTATGGCGTGGACATCAACAGTGTCATTACTCGTCGCCTTCTTCTTTGTAGCCTAGGATGCCCAGTAGTACCCTTATCCCCTTTTTGTAGTCCTAGGTTCCTTGTAAAGTCACCCAATACCGAAAAGGGAGCCCTCTTTATTCCCAGGTTACTGGGCATCTTAGTATCCATTACGGAATGAGTTGGCACTATTCCAGCTCGGGTTGAGCCAGAACAGGTTCTTGCTAAAGGTGCGGCCTTAGTCTTTAGTACTAGGTAGTATTATTAGGGAAACCCCTTAAAGGGTACCCCTTCTGAACTCTACTTCTGGCTCTCTTAAAAGGGGCCTTATTGAGAGGGTCTATATCCCCAAGGGTTCCCCTAATCCTAACTCCCAAGTAGCAAGGTTTCATTGTGAAGAGATGTCCAAGCACGAATGTAGGAGTTTCTAAGGAGTCAACCACCTAAGACCCCAGTTGCCTGCGTAGTGGTGTACTATTGTCAGAAGCCTGCTGGGAGTACCTCATAGGATTCTAAAT